CAAGTCAAGTCACATTTTCTGAGTGTGGGCTGGGTATGCTTGTCTCTTTCTTCCAAGAATATTTATTGAGCACCTACTAAGCCCAGGTAGTGAGCATGGTAGTTCCTGTCCTCACAGAACTTAGAGTCTGGTGGAAAGTATGTATTATACAAGGAAGTGGGCAGTTCCCATACAGCATGATGAATTATGTGATAGAAATTCAAGGCACCATCAATATACAGAAGAGGGCTCCTAATTCAGGCTTCAGGGCTCCTGGAATGCTTTTCAGAGGAAATAATCTCTCCTCTAAGGTGGAAGCAAAGCAAGAGTTATCCAGGGTAAGGGGGCTTTGGAAGTGGGAAGCATGTTCCAGGCAAATGGGGCAAGGGTCACCCTTGAAGAACAAGAAAGTGCCCCAGAGAGGCTCAGGATGGCTGGAGCTTGGAGTTGGAGGAGGAGAATGATGACAGATTGGGTTGGAGGGGCCAGAAGGGTCTGGAGCAGGCGTTCTCAACCCTGGCTGCAGCTTGGAGAAAATACTGATGCTCAGGGCACCTCCACCTCTGATGGTTGAGAAGCTCCCCAGGTGATTCAAATGTGCAGCCAGTGTTGGAAGTTTAGACCATGCGGGATCTTAAAAGCCAAGCTGAAGAGTTGGAAGTTTATCCAGAGAGCCTCTGATGGTTTTATGGAAGGAAGGGATGTAATCAGATTTTTCTTTCTCCAGATGCTGGGTGAAGAAGGGAATGATACAGAAAGACTGGGGTTAGAGAAGCTGGTTAAGGAGGCTGCTGCAGTGATCCTGATGAGAAATGGACCGACGCCTGTCGATAGGGATGGCAAGAAGTGGACAGATCCGAGGCTGGTTGATGATGGGCTGGGAAGAAACATGTGGGAGATGTGGGAAGACAAAGGTCATCCCTTGAACATGCAGGTCCAGATTACCAAGAAGTTTCTAGCTAGAGATACAGACTTGTATGTGGGCAGCAGAGAGAACCAATGCACTCTCCCAGGAAGAGGGGTAAATGGTGAGAAGAAAAGAGAGACTGGAACAGAACCCCGGAGGACCAGGTAGGGATGTATCCCAAAAGGACCAAGAGGAGCTGGTGAGCTGGTCAGAGAAGGAAGAGAGAAACCAGAAGTGCACATTGTCAAGAAAGTGAGGAACGGTGGCTAGTAAGAGCCATATGTGTAAGAGGGTCAAATTCTGGGAGATGTGTTCGAAGGTTACTGGTAACCTGGACAGTGAAGTGGGCGTCGGTGCCTGGGGTGGGGCCGAAGTGGTGGTGAGAGCAGACGCCATCTAACAGGGGCAACTGTTCTTTATCTATTTGTTTGCTCATTCAACACTTTATACATTAAGCACCTAATGGCCAGGTGCTGTGTTCAGAGTTGTGGATAAGATGGCAACTCCCGAGGCCTTCGCCCACCAAGAGGAGACAGATCACAAAACAATGAGATAGAAATGCTACACTGAGGCTGGGTGCCATGGCTCATGCCTGTAATTCCGGCACTTTGGGAGGCCGAGGCAGGTGGATTGCCTGAGCTCAGGAGCTCGAGATCAGCCTGGGCAACACGGTGAAACCCTGTCTCTATTAAAATTCAAAAAAATAGCAGGCATAGTGGCACATGCCTGTAGTCCCAGCTACTCAGGAGGCTGAGGCATGAGAATTGCTTGAGGTCGGGAGGCGGAGGTTGCAGTGAGCCAAGATCGTGCCACCCACTGCACTCTAGCCTGAGCAATGGAGCAAGACTGTCTCCAAAAAAAGAAAGAAAGAAAAAGAAAAGAAAAGAAAAAAGAAATGCTACAATTGAGATGTACTCCACCGGTTTTAGGGCATGTTGGAATCAACTCTACTAGGGAGGAGGAAGAGGAAGGCAAGGAAGGTGTCAGAATGCAAGAGGAGGGCCAAGGTTTGCATTGATGTGATCATCCTCAAGGCTGCCCATTGTGGAGTTCCGATCTTAGCCAGCAGTGGAAGAATGGTACTTCTGAACCTCCTCATGGTTTGGTGGGGCCATGTGACCAGCCTGGACCCATGAGTGGTGAGTAGAGGTGAGAGCAGTCATGTCCCAGCCAGATCATCTGAGAATCAGCACAGGAGGTGCCAGAGGTCTCTTGTCCCTCGGGCACTGCAAACAGTCAAGGTGAGACTGTGGCTGTTTCCATGTGCCTGAGTAACCCCTCCTTGAGACACACACCTCTTGGTAGACCAGAAACCTGAGGTAGAAGCACATTTCTGCTGTTTCAGTGCTGTGACTGTCATCATAGCATCCCTTGGCCCAGTGTTCCTTGAAGTATGGCCCCTGGACCAGAAGCATCAGATTCACTTGGGAACTTGTTAGAAATGCTCATTCTCAGGCCCTACTCTGAATCTGAATTTACTGAAGCAGAAACTCTGGGGGGTCAGGAGCGGGTGGTTAACAAAATCCAAGGGATTCTGAAGCATGCTGAAGTTTGAGAACCGCTGCCTATCTGGGGCTGAGGGACAGTCATCTTCAAGGCAGAGTAGAAATTAAAAGTCATGGAGGTCATTCTAGCAAAGAAATTTTTTTTTTTTTTTTTTTTTTTGAGACGAAGTTTCACTCTTGCCTCCCAGGCTGGAGTGTAGTGGCGTGATCTCAGCTCACCACAACCTCTGTCTCCCGGGTTCAAGTGATTCTCCTGCCTCTGCCTCTGCCTGTCAAGTAGCAGGGATTACAGGCACCCGCCACCACAGCTGGCTAATTTTGTGTTTTTAGTAGAGACGGAGTTTCTCCATGTTGATCAGGCTGGTCTTGAATTTCCGACCTCAGTCTCCCAAAGTGCTAGGATTACAGGTGTGAGCCACCTCGCCCGGCAGAAAACTTTTTAAAATGAGGTCAGACACATACTAAATGGTGAGGCTCATCCTGTCACAGGAAAGGATTTTTCAGGAAAAATATCATGATACCTACTTAACATGGGCTGAGACTTCCTAACACAATGGCCTAAACTCTGGCCATGCAGACCGTTCTCTGCAGTGTCATATCAGAAGACGTGATTGCAGAGGAGATATTCTGAATTCAAAGTCACTGAAGCTGGGACCAAGATAAACCCAGCAACTCATTTTCCATTTGTCCCATGGCCTTTGCTGATTTCGAAAATGTTCCTGAATGCTTTGAATCTAAAAGGTACATAAAACCCAATTCTCTCTTCTGCAGAATGAGTCATTAGAGCTGTAGCTGAGGCTATTTGGTAATGGGCACTATTTAAATAAAGTGAAAAGTACAATTTCAAATGAATTGCTTTTTAAACTGTCAAGTAAAAGGAATCCATTTGTACACGAGAAATTATTCCAAGCGTTCTAACTATTAACTGAAAGCAGGTGAAACATGTCAAAGAAAAGAAAATGTTCTATTAAAGAGCCGACGAAATGGCTAAAGACAGACACCTAATGACCCCTTTGGCCTGTTTTGGACTAAAAAACATGTATTTTCACCAGCCCTAGGTGAGAGCTCCATGGACAACAGTTTTAAGAAAATATTAAATGCTGGTTGGGCACGGTGGCTCATACCTGTAATCCCAGCACTTTGGGAGGCTGAGGTGCCTGGATCACAAGCTCAGGAGTTCAAGACCAGCCTGGCCAACCTTGTGAAACCCCATTTCTACTAAAGATACAAAAAATTAGCTGGGCGTGGTGGTATGCACCTGTAATCCCAGCTACTTGGGAGACTGAGGCAGGAGAATCACTTCAACTCAGGAGGCAGAGGTTGCAGTGAGCTGAGATCATGCCATTGCACTTCAGCCTGGGTGACAGGGTGAGATTCCATATCAAAAAAGAAAAGAAAAGAATTATTAAATGCTAGTAACAAGATGGCATTTTGTTCATTGGCATTGCTTTTCGTGCATTTAAACCAGTGTGACCCTGACACTGTTTTCTGGGCGGGACAACAGTATATTATCACTTTAACTTCTCCCTTTGGCTTAAATTTGCTGCCAAGGGCCCTTGGCTAGCTCTCCAAGTGTCATATTGAACAATGTTTTATAGTCTTCTGTTTGCTACTGCCGAATGCCTCCCTGTGCAGTGTAGTCAATGAGAAGAGAATTCTGCAAACGTATGAAAAGTGTCTTTTCTGTCACTGGCAGGCATGCTTGGTTGAGGTCACCAGTAAGGAGAGCAAGACTCAGTGTTAAGGCATCTCTATAGACAAACACAGAATCCTGGCCTTTTCCATTTCATTTCCTCTAGGGGTTTCCACTGCAATTAGCTTTGTGTTCATGCCTCTAGTATCTCTGTTGGTATTGAAACGGAGCTGCTGAGAATAATCAGTGAGGCTTCTCCCTTCTCGGCCCTCTGGCACCTCTAACCTGTGTCACTATGCCAGACTAACACAAGCAAAATGATCCCTACTTACTCTGTCCAGAGGTAACTGTGTGTGTCGGTGGTGACCAGCTAGAAGCATTGAGCACGCTTGAAAAGGGAGCACCTCTCACATGTGAAGGTGCACACAGATTTCCAAGGGATCTTGTTAAAAATGTACATTCTCACTCAGTAGGTCTGGGGTGGGATCTTAGAGTCTGTGTGTCTCATAAGCTCTTAGGCACTTCCCAGGCTGCTGAGGACCACCCAGTACTGAAGGGTGCTGCGAGGGAACACTGCACATTCTACACACAGTGACTTTTAGGACCCTCCTGAATCGGGCGTTTATCTAAGGGCCTTGCTCCCTTTTGATTTAGGGTTCCTTGAAAGCAGAGACTGGGTCTCATACATTTGTTATTATTTTGTTCTCCGGTTGGCACTTGGCACAGGGCCTGCACACGGGTGGGTATTTATTTAATTAAAGAGTTGGCCTTGTTCCAAAAAGGATTTTAAGTGGACTTAACCCCTAGCAGGCACTAAACAGGTGGCGATGAATCAGCCAGGAAGGGGTAGTCACAGACCTCCTGGGCTGGGGTCCCCTCCCCCTGCCTGCATCCGTATCACCCCTCAGCTGCCATTCCGAAAATTTCCCTCCTGCCCCATTCTTCTGTAAAGCGGTTTACATCAGAGAGAGCCGACCAGAGAGGCAAAACCAAACCAGAAAGCCCTGGGAAGCTGTAAGGCTTAGGAACATCAAAAGCTCCACGGTGGGTGGTGGGGCCCGCAGATCTCTCTGCCCGGTCTCCAGCTTTTTTGCAGGTCGGCGTCGTGGCCCCGCAGGTCCCCAGCAGCCCGGAGAGCCCTGAAGGAACTGGTCCCAGGGGGTCCGGGTGCCTGTTGGCTTGGTGCGAGCCTGTTTGTTAGCTCTACACTAGCAATTAATCTCCTGCACCTCCTGCCCCGGGTTGAGGTGGGGTGGGAATGGGAGAGCGCTTCGGGTCGCCTCGGGGTTCGGGGAGCCCGGACCGGAGTGACAGCTCTGCAGAAACCCTTGTTCTAAGAGTCCCCAGCGGTGCCATAACCTGTTCCTCTCTGCAGCAGCCTCAGAGGGTAAAGGAAGGGCTCGTTGCAGTTCCGTATGGAAGGAGAGAGAGAAAAAGGGAGAAGGAAGGGGATTATATTGGTCAATAGTTGGACCTCACGGGGGAAGGGAAGGGTGCACGGGGGAGTGCGACCTACGGGTGGAGTACCCGTGCTGGGAAGGGCGGGGGGTGAGAGGCGGGCAGGAGGGGAGGAGTAGGGAGGCGAGAGCAGCGGGCTGGAGGCGCCACGGCCTCGCAGACGCAGGCGCCCGCAGCCGAGGAGCCGGAGAGAAAGTTCCCGGGGAGAGCTCGCCCCTGGGAGGGCCGACGTCGAGCCTGCTCGCCGCTAGGGTCTCAGGTCCCGCGCGTCCAGCCCACCTTCCCGCTGCGCGCATTCGGCTGCCCGGGCTCGGCTCGCCAGGAAGCAGGGGAGCATCGCCGGTTGGCAGCCGGGGCGGCCGCCGCCAAACTTGGAGGAGGAGGATGCTGAGAGTGGGCGCGGCGGCGCGGGGCGCGTGGGTGCACTGAGTGATCCCACGGCGCTGCTGCCAGGGCTGTGGCCGGGCGAGCGGGCCGAGGCGGAGCGGGCAGGTAGCGGCTCCAGCGCCAGGACTGCGCCAGCCCTGCGAGCCCGGGCCGCCAGCGCCACCGTGCCCGCGTCGCCTCCTCGCCACTGAGCCATGGTGCGCGGAGCGCGCACGCCGCGCGCGGGACTCTGAGCTCCGGCCGCGCCGCGCGTCCCCACCTTCCCAAGGGGCTCCCTCGCCGACCTCTCCAGCGGGCCATGAGGCTTTGGCCTCGAGCTCCTCGCCTCTGAGCCGCGCACCGCCTGCTCTAGCCCCAGCGCCGCTCGGCCACTGATAGCACTCCGGCCGCTGAAGCTCCCCATCCTCTCCCAGGGACGGCACCCAAGGCGCTCCGGGATGGCGTTCCGCGGGACCCTTCGGCCGCTCAAAGTTCGCAGGAGGCGAGAGACGCTGCCGCAGCAAGTTGGCTTCGTGTGCGCGGTGCTGGCCCTGGTGTGCTGTGCTTCCGGCCTCTTCGGCAGCTTGGGTGGGTGCTGCTACGGGCCCCCTCTTCCCGGGGAGTTGGGGGCTTTGGCTGGAGAGTCTCGGGGCAGCTCCAAGATGTTTCCCCCTCCTTCCTCGTCAGCGTGGTCCCAAGGGTTCATCCAGTCTCCTCCCCGCCGGGCAGGTAGAGCGCGCCCTGAAGGGCTGATGGACACTCTGGGCGGTGGCGCTGGTTCCCCTGAGCTGCGCGCGGCCCCTGGGGGCTGAGGACGCGGCTGCCGGTGTGTGTTACTACGACGAAAGCAAGAACCGCTTCTGTCCCGGGAGTGCGCCCAGAAAGGGCAGCGCACCTGCCGGCTGCAGGCATGGATTCTCTTGGTCTGGGGTGGGCAAAACTGAGCGGCCCGCTTTCCTATTCTGCAGAGCCGCAAGGATCGTGCAGGGACTGGGTCCCTGGAAAACCCAGTTTCAGAGGCTGGGAACTGTCACTGAGTGTCGCCCTTCCCGGGTTCAAAGGGGTGCCCTGAGGTGTTCTTCCCAAACCCTAAAAGCGTTGGGGCAGTCTGCCGCGGGGGGTTGCTGCCATGTTTCACCATCGCTTCTCTCAACTCCTCTTAAACCCCATGGAGGGAGAAGGCTGGTGTGTGGAGCCTCGACCCATGCCCCCTCCTCCAACAGAAGGGATTTGGGAGTCGTTTAGGCTTGTACGAATTTCGGGTGGAGTGGGAAGAGAGAAGGAACTAATCGAAGAAATCTGTTTAGGGGAATATGACCCCATGTGTAAAGTTCAGGAGACATTCACTTCCCTAATTCAGGAGACATTCACTTCCCTATCGCTTCATTTTGAGTTGATGCTGTGAACCTTTTAGTTTCTTTTTTTTAATGTTAAAAAATAAAATAAAATAAAACAAATGCTGGTGATTTAACGACCAAGACATGGAGGTAAAGCGGATGGTGGCTTCTTGAGCAGTTAGAAAGGCCATCAACATCCAGAGACAATTTAGGGTTAAGGTTACACTGATAGGTAAAAATCAAGTGGAACTTCACATTTTCAAAATCACTGCCTTTTGAAATCTAAACTTTGTGATTTGAAGATGCAGGGTTAAATGGTGGCTCTTTCCAGTGAAACCCAGGCAGGTTATTTCGAATATCTTAGTACCTGGTGCTTTGCAATTGGGCAAGTCAGTGTTGGGTTATTTTCCCCCTCAATTACACACCAGAAATAACAACATACCTAGAGGCTCTTAGATGTCAACATTACAGAAGAGGTATTATTACCCAGCTGAAGCAGTGCACATCGGGAGAGGTAAATGAATACTTTGAAGGTCTTAAAGTGAAAATCATTTTTATTTGCTGGATCAGGAATGACCTTTAGGCATTGAAGTGTGTTTGGTTGTGGGCATCCGCAAATTCTCTCTTGTTCAGTATGGCCCCTGGACCAGCAGAATCAGCACCACCTGGGAGCTTGTTAGTGCAGAATCCCAGGTCCCACCCCAGACCTGGTGAATCAGAATCTGAATTCTAACAAGATCCCCAGGTGATCCTCGTGCACATTCAAGTGTGAGGAGCACTGGGCCAGCCTGCATCCGCCCTGCCCACCTGCTTCTGACTTACTATTCATTTGTAGTTCCTCCAGGGTAGGGGCCTCTGAGAGTGTCTTTTACTGGAAGAACACTTACAGGGTCACCTGTCTAAACCATTTGTTGCACCTGTGAGGTGCTGGGACCACCTCAGTCTTGGCCAAGGTGCTGACCCATCTGGGACTAGAAACAATGAACTTGATCCAGGAAACAGACTGTTGTATGTAAGCAGGTGCTATTATACTTCCAATCATCCTATCAGTCCTGAAAGATGGCTCTGAATAGGCAAGCAGGGTTGTTGCTGACATAGCTAGATACACAAATGTAAAGTCACTTTGGAAATGCCACCATCACACTGACCTAATGGCACCTGTGACTTGTTTTCCAATCCAGGGCATAAAACAGCTGCTTCTAGCAAACGTTTCCTGCCAGACACATGGAGAAATAGAAAATTGATGGCCCCAGTGAATGGGACACAGACAGCCAAGAACTGCACAGATCCTGGTAAGAAATCGATTCTTCTCCACCCTGTCTACTAAGACATTTGGCCTGAGCTGGAGATGGTGCTTATGTGGGCAGTCATGGCCAGAGCTGAGTGAGGTAGCTTATGGACCTGAGTGGAAAAGGGTGGCCATGAGGTGTTGAAAGGTAACAGAAAGACATTCGTCAATGGTGCTGCTAAGCAACTCAGTGCTTTCTTTATCTAGCAACTGAAAAGGTCACATTCAAGAGTTTAAAATGTTACTTTTTGTTCTCACAGTGTTCTTGAAAGCTCAGTATTTTCCCTGCTCTCTGGATTTTGTTTGTTGCTTGAGATGACTCTGTTTTCTTTCCCTTTTGCTCATTGTAGTCATTACCGGAGCTCTCACAGTGGCAGATCCAGCTGCTGTGGCAATAGTGCTTTGAGATGGCCCACCAGGGTCTGAGCATGCGTGGGCAGCTGCAGGGGTAGGACGTGCTGGGGTGCTGCGACCATTTCTCTCCAATGGGAGTCTGCAGGGTATCATTCAGCCCTGGAGACTGATTCTGCTTGCCCCGTTTTAATGTTCTTCTTCAGACTTTTCTTGGGGGTCTGAGGCAGTAGAGACCCAGAGGATCTTGTCTGTTCTCCTGCCACAAGCAGGCTTTGCTTAAATGAGTGAAGAAGATTCCCAGGAGAAGAGAGCATATGGGTAGAGAGCAGAACTCACAGCCACTGCCCAGACCTCAGGCTGGGCACATCTACGCTGGAGCTCTGGCTTCAGCCCTTAAGGGCTTTGTGAGGAGGATCTGGGGGATGATACATTCATAAGCTCTTAGGGAACTGTGAGGTGTTAATATAGATGGCTTTGCTACTGGGTTGCTGGGCAGATCACATCATCTTTTTGGATCTCTGTTTTCTCACCTGTAAATGGGCAGAATAGTTGCCCGTTGCAGGGTTGTTGGGAGGAACTGGGAAGGTTTTATTTGGGACTGGGTATAAAAGGGGATAGAGCTCCAGGGCAAAGGAGCAGGGTTGGATGGCAGTTTCCATGTGTTTGATGGTCATATTCTATGAGGCAAGTCTCACCCCCATTTTACAGGTCAGGAAAGATTTAGGGAGAAGGCACAAGTTGCTCAAAGTCACACAACTCGTAAGAGGTGAGGCTGGCTTGGGAACCTGGGCCTGTGTAACTTCGATTGGTTCCTGGTGCTTAGGAGGGGGAGGCCTCCTGTCAAAGTTTTCATACTGTTTTTTACACCATCAGCTTCCCTGCCCTCAGATGCCTTCTGAGAAGTGGTGGACAAGTGCAGGTTTGCAGAGAAGGGCTGGGATTGCCTTGGACCCTGGGTGATTCTACCTGTCCAGGTGATCTAGCAGGCGGGGGTGCTCATCCTGTCATTCCCTCCCCCAGGGTGTCTTCTCTCATCAGCCAGGCTGGTGGACATATGGGCCGACTGACAAATGGCAAGGGTCATTGGTGCCACACTAAACAACGTGCATGAGGCCAAGGATGGTTAATGCTGGGGGCTGTTCCCACCCATTCCGGGCACCAGAAATGCTGGAATTGGCACTATCCCCATGGGAAAACTTTGCTACTCTGGATAAAGAATCAGGGTTTGGGAATGTTTAGCTGGTTTCAAGCTTGCTGGTGCCCTCATCTTGGGCTGGCCATGCCTTCCTCTGATGACTTCTGTCATACATAGCCTGAGTATGTGGGCTTAGACAGGGACCCCTTTCTTATGAGAGTCCTCCTATGCCCTATTGTGGGCCCTGTGTCTGTCTTTAGCTGTCTGATTAAAAATCATTCAATTAACGAATAAAGCATCTGTTCTATTCGACAGGAAGGCCTTACCTTGTCCCTTTTGTGAAGAGGGAAGTGGAGGAACTTGATAGTATCTTTAAAAATAGTTAACTTTTGCATTATGCTTTATATTGACTGTTTCCAGAATACAGCCTGGATCATAGAAAGGACTCTGTAAATATTGGTCAAATGATGGAATGAAAGTGCATTTTGATGTATCACACTTTTTTTTTTTTTTTTGAGATGAAGCCTCGCTCTGTCACTCAAGCTGGAGTACAGTGGCACAATATCAGCTCACTGCAATCTCCACCTCCCGGGTTCAAGCGATTTTCTGGCCTCAGCCTCCCAAGTAGCTGGGACTACAGGCTCGCGTCACCATGCCCAGCTAATATTTGTATTTTCAGTAGAGATGGAGTTTCACTGTGTTAGCCAGGCTGGTCTCAAACTCCTGACCTCATGATTTGCCAGCCTCAGCCTCCCAAAGTGCTGGGATTACAGGCATGAACCACCATGCCCAGCCTGTATCACACATATTAATCCCAATCTTGTTTTTGCCAAGACAAGATACACGAAGGTCAGAAGTGTAGTGGCTTCCTAAGATCTCTTGGGGAGCTGGAACATACTGGGGCCACCTGGCTCCAGATGCCAGGCTTCTCCCTAGCCCTGCACAGCCCCCAGCTCTCCTCTCAGGCCAGGTGGGGGCTGTGGCCAGCCTTCCCTTCCAGCATCTTCCTCCCTGATCTATGGGAATCTCTGCCCCCTTTTCATTTCACAAGTCTATATAGCAAGCACCTGCTGGTGTGTGGCCAGCTCTGTTGTGGACACGTAGTGGGGGTATAAGGTGCAAACTCCTGTCATTGAGTAACTTAGAGTAGAGAGAACAAGATCTCAACACAGGGGAAGCTAGGTGACACTGGGGGACTCCAGAGGCGCCTCAGTGAGCAACCCTGCAGGAGGCACTGCAGGTGCCCAGAGGAGGATGAGCTGGCCCAGTATCTTTCAGAAATCACCTAGTGATTTCTGTGTAGCCTGGGGGACTAGATGAGGCAGGCCATTTAGAGTTGCCATGACAGAACTGGGTTTAGCAGAAATAGAAATTTGGTGGCTCAGTAACTGGAGGTGTGAGACCAAAGGTTACAAGGTATCCATGGCTCTGATTCTCCCTCTCTGGGCTCACTTATCTTCTAGCATGGGAAGGCGGTTACCACTGACCCAACTTTATGTCCTCCCAGACTCAAGTATGCTGAGGCTGAGCGGCTTCTGCAGAAGTCTGGAAGTTCTGTTGGCTTGGGCTGCATGACGGCTCTTGCAGATTGATCTGGCCGAGGGAGTGCTGGTCCCAGGACTGGCTTAGACCTTGGTCACAGGCCCCGCCTCTGGAGGGAGGGGACTGAAGCTGCCACTCCTACCACCAGAACTCCACCCGGGGGTCCATGAGGTTGGGTACCTGGGGAGCAAATACTCAATTCTTACACCTCTTCCCCCTGGGTTCCCATCCTGGGGCTTGCTGAGATAATGAAGGCTGGATTAGAGCTTCAAGTGAGTTTCAGGGGTGTGCCAGGCAGTACTATCTGATGGCTGCCTCCCTTCTGTACAGTTGGTGGGGTTTCCTCATAAAGAATTGCAGGGCGTTTTGCATCCTCTTCAGGTTCAGCTTTAGGCTCGCCTCCATGAATTCAAGGATGCTTCATCCAGCAGAGCTTTCAGGGATGTTGGAAGATGGAGCTTTAAAGGCTCCCTCCCGTGCTGAGGCACCCCTTAGATTGCGTGTCCCACAAACATAAGCTCACGTCTCCATAAGAACCTCCAATGTGTGTCTTTATTACCTGTGCCTTCTCATGCTCATCTTTACCTGTGAGAGGAATAACTTTGTTTTCCAAAAACCTGAATGGGACCCTGCTCTAGTCTTTCCTGAAGACTCTACATGGAAAATGGGCTCTGCCTGGGTTGTATCCACAGATCTTGGTGGTAGCGTTTTGATCTCATTACTGGTGTTTCAGCATACGCACCTGGTCACCAGCCCCTTTCCCTTCCCCCTTTATTACTCTGTGTTTTTTGTTTGTTTTTGTCACTCTGTCACCCAGGCTGGAATGCAGTGGTGTGATCATGGCTTATGGCAGCCTCTACCACCCTGGCTCAAGTGCTTCTCCTGCCCTAGCTTCCTGAGAAGCTGGGACCACAGGCCATTTTTTTCTATTTTTTGTAGAGGTATGGTTTTGCCATGTGGCCCAGGGTGGTCTCAAACTCCTCTGCTCAAGTAATCCTTCTGCCTCCACCTCCCAAAGTGCTGGGACTATAGGCTTGAGCCACCATGTCCTGCTCCCTATGTTGTTTTTATGACATATATCACTATCTACCATAACTCACTTCATTGCTGGGTATCTACCCTTGAGGGCTACCTCTTCTGCGGCCAGAAGAGCAGTTCTTAATGCTGGCTCCATATTTAGATCACCTCAAGAGCTTTATAGGAATATTCTAAAATGCCCAGGCCCCACTCCCAGAGTGTCTGATTTCATTGGTTTGGGGGAGGGCCCAGGAATCAACACTTTTTAAGAGCTCCCCAGGCAATTTCAGGATGAAGCCAGAGGTGGTTCTCACTGGGCTGGAGACCTACTGCTCAGCACAGGGGCATCACCTGGGAGCTTGTCAGGAATGCAGAGTCTCGGGCCCCCCGAATCAGAAGTGGCATCCTGAAGAGATGCCCAGGCAGCTCTCTGAGCTAGAGCACTGCTGGACACTTGGGAGGATGTTGAGCAAAAGCAATTCAAACAAAAATGTGAAAGTTAACACTTGTTTAATGGAGCCATTTTCCTAAAAACTATTTTTTTTAATGTAGGAAAGCTTTAAGAAAATCTGCTTTATTTTTGCTCAATGTTGTCTATGGAAAATTTATAATTAATTTTTCCCTAGAGATCTGAAGGCAACACATGGGTCTCTAGACCTTAAATGTCTATTTTTATGGCCTGTGCAGAGCAAGCACTGAAAAAGGGAAGTAGGTCTCTCCATGACACATGTATGAAGTAGGAACGAGTGGCAGTGACTTGGAGTCCCTTGAAGACTCTCAGCTCAGGCTCCTTTAGCAAAATATCATAGGATCACTCAAACAACAGGCATTTCTTTCTCATGGTTGTGGAGGCTGCAAGTCCAAGGTCAAGGGGTCTGGTGAGGGCTCTCTACTCAGCTTGCAGATGACCACCTTCTCGCTGTGCTCAGAGTGGCAGAGAGAGGCAGCACACAGTC